TGTCTTGAGAAATCCGAGCTAACGCGAAGCAGCCACCGGTTCCAGTGAATACGAGAGGATCTGACACGAATCGATGTTCCTCAATCACACGACGGGTTCGTTTTGTGGAGGAGAAACCACAGCCGGGCGGTGTTCAAGGGGGGAAGGGGGGGTTTATCCACTAAGCTAGCTGCCCGCCCCTCTTCTGGCGACCATGTCCCCGCAGATGAAAGGTGTCAGGTGAACACGGTGGACGACGCGCGCAGGTTCGAGGTGCTATCAACCGGATGTTTGTCCTCCTCAGTCCCGGCGGTCAGGATCCAGGCTGCAGCGAGACATCAACACACGTCCGACATCTTTCTTTCCTGCAGGAAAACAAGCGACCATCAGGAAGTGACTCGCCAGCGAGGTCATGTGACTGCTGCTGCGGCACAGAGACACGTGGGGCTGACCACCGCTGAACGTCACCATCATCATCATCATTATTATTATCATTATTATAGTTATTCTTATTATTTTGTTTTTTCATTCATATATATTTTATTTCAGTTTGTTTTATTTTACTACTAATTTTATTATTTATTCGATTGACATTTTTTTTAGTATCATTTTCTCTTTGTTATTATGAGTCATCAGTTTTAAAATGAATTAAATAATATAAAGTCTTGATTCATTTGTGTAAGCGTGTTTCTCTAGGGGAAGAAATGAAACAGACTACGTGTGTACAGCACTTAAATTGATAGAATACCTTTTGAAATATAGCTTTGTATAAAGTCATTTCTAAATCAATTGGTATAGATAACAAATAAAATAAATCAACAAATTAATCCATGTGTACATGGGTTTCTTGCTGTTATGATTATGCTGGAGCTCAAATAACTTCAAATCATCCTCTTTGGGTAAGCAACACTGATTCCCTTTTGGTTTTGTCATTTTCTTTTATCCTGTTTTTAAAAGAAATTCCCTCCTCCTCCAGTAGATGTCCCTCTTGTGCATTGAGGTAATATTTCTTTTTCCTGGGCTCGAACAGATCAGGACAGATGTGTAATTAAAACTGTGAGGTAGCTCAAAGCAAAATAAATATTTATCCACTTTAAAATCATATTTCATTACATCCACATACTTTAACATGACTGTCTATCAATCTAGTTGTAATCATAATCCACGATCCACAATCATGATCCACGATTCACCATCACAGTCACGATTCGAGGCAACAACAGTGCAATAGAATCACAACTGTCAACATTCATTTTCATTTGTGCAGGAAAGACAATACAATTAGACAATATCCACTTTTTTATGAGCAACTTGAAGAAACTCCAGATGAATCATACATCATGCATGTACAGTCTTTCCTTGTGCCTCTCATATGTATGACCCTGCAGCAGCAGGAAGGATTACACGTTCAGCTCCACTAATGTATACACATTTCATGGCCTAATGCCCGTGTACAATCCAGCCTGGTCTCCTTTCATTCTCATACAAGTCACATGGATGAGGGCAGTCACATGATTTCAATTTAAACACTCTGGACAGTGTCTCTCACGCACACGGACCCGTTCATACACATACTGTAAATCCCTGTTATGCATACTTATGGATTCTCTAAAAAAAATTATACATATGCAAACTGGATATTACAGAAAGTATTGTATGTATCAGTGGATTAAGTAGCTTTGATTTTTTTTTAATCCAGTCCAAGTGACCAGTGTTTTTTTAATGGCTGCACCATTTCCTAAAATAGAAAAGTTCTGGATGTTTTTCAAATTCCAGAATTCAACTTGACATATTTTGCATCGCTGGAAATATTTGGCTCTCCACAAGACTTCAATTTAAAGTCCTGCTGGTTTGTCTCCTCAGCATGAGCTTGTACTGACTGTCCACAAGTGGAGCGGTGAGGCCGAGCGAGACGACTCTGATTTATTGGAACAGGAAAAAGGAAAACAGTTTATGTCTCTGAAAGGATCTTCTCTAATTTAAAGTATTCATCTGTTATTCAAACTGCTCAGAGTTCATACAGTTGTGATTGAGCTCTTCATGGTGAAAATCACAAAATCATTTGATGAAGTCTTTTTTCAAAAGGACTCGATAAGTATTCACTTGTTCTTGATAATGTGCAAGAAAATGCATTAAGATAAAACAGCAAAAAATGATGTGCAAAGAGTATTTAGTACAGTCTTCGCATCTTTTCCCTGCAAAACACTTAAACACACAGTGTTTAAAGTGAATCTAAAACTTTAAGTTGTTGACGTTGAAGTGGTGGAAGTAATTCATTTGAGGACAGTCATGGCTGACGGATGTGGCGTGGACAGCAAAGAATTAGCGGCCATTTTAACAGTCTTAACAGATCTAATAATTATCGATGAAGGCTCTTCTAGTTTGGCTGCAGCAGCTGATCAGCACTCATGTCGTCTGCCAGGACCTGCTCACAGGCCTCGTCTGTGACCGACTCCTGTGACTCATCAGTTCCTCTAAAGGGCCCTGTCACGACTGGTCCAGATGGCCCAGATTCAAACGCAGGAGTTGGGTTCCTCCCCGTCCCAAAACCACAGCATTCCTCAGCCAATCGGGCAACGCAAGTGCTCCATGACATCACTGCCTGAGGAATGAACTGGCATCACAGTTGAGTGTGGAAAGTGACCCGGCTAACAAGGAGGGACTGAGTGGTTTAGACAGTTTCTAACAAGCACAAGTCAAAGGGGTCATTTAGACAGAATCAGGCATCTTGTGTGTTCGTGTTTGTGTGTGTGTGTGTGTGCAATGACTGAATTTTCTCATTGTGCAAATAGCGAGGAACTTTCCGTGCCCTCCAGAGTGTCGTAAAAAGCCTCTGTGGTTCCGATGGGCGCTTACACAATGAATTGGGTTTCACTGTGACCGCTGAAAAAACATACATACATGTACTTTCTGCCTGTGAGACATGAAAGCATGTACATGACGGTTGTGTAATCCACGCATACCTAGTCACACATAATCCTTTCACTCTCCTTCTTTCATGCAGACACAAACTGAAGATCAGTGGAGGAAAGAAACTATGTGGATTTAATATAACAACAATTCACACTTCATCGCATTTTTTGTGTATTTCAGTTTACAAATTAAAATGTTACAGACAAAAACACCTACAATGAGATTATAGAATATAATGCAATGTTTAAGATTAAACCAGGAGTTTCCAGACTCATGATCCCTCAGAGAAAAAAAAAACAGCGTCTGGTTTGGGCTCTTTGTCACATTTAGATGTTTATGGGTTTATGTTTCACCAAAGAGATTTCCCCTTATTGCTTTTCATATGGTTTCTGTTCTGAAGTCAAATTATCCAATAATTCACACAGCAAAGATCAAGTAGTTTTGTGTCGTAGAACTTTTTTGTCTCAGTAATCATTTCATGCTGCCTCATGAATACACAGTATGAACAGAAGAGCTCTCAGAGAGCACGTACCTCTGCCAAGTCCCCACATTAACATTAATTGCATTCTTATTTGGATCTGCACCAAATTGCAAAAACATAAAAATCAGTCACCTTAATATGTCTGATTCAATTATTATTTTTATTACAAAATGTTGAAAAATGCAACAAAGAGACACAAGACACTGATTACAACTTTCATCAGGAACTCGGAATCACTTTGGATGAATTCCGCTCTGCGTCTGCATTTTATCCAATCATTTATTCTGCTCAAGCCAAAAAATGTTAAGTTAAATATCCCTGAAAAAAAAAGTAAATTGTACATTGTAGTATCAGTAATGTAATTAGGAATTCATTATTGTTTGATGCAGTTAAACTGATCCTTTATGAAACTACATTCAAATTCAAAATATTTGTATTTGTATCTGAGTCAAATTGCACACACTCATAAATATCAGTACTTTAAAACAAAAAACACAAAAAAATTCTGAATCTGCCCCCTGATCCAGATGCACAGTCAAATTCTTCCCTCATATCGCATCTTTCCACCAACCTTTGTTGTTATCCATCCATGTACTTTTTGCATTTTACTTTTACTTTTGCTGCTTTCTAGTGTCTGTACTTTTACTCAAATAAAGTGAATGCAGGACTTTCTCTTGCAATTGAGCACTTCTGCATATTAGCATTGGCTCGTTCCCAACACACTCATTTACACATTGAGAGGGTTCATCCACTCCTCCTGCTGTTTGCTTGGCACTGTCTTTATAAACTGGGAAGCACTTCACAGGGGAACTTGTCTCCACACTGTTTGAAAACCTGGAAAAACCATCACTGGCCCGTGAACCGACTTCTCTCAGGAAGTGCCCGAGAGACCGTGAACGACACATTTTTCAGGGCAAGGTGAAGTCTGTCTCACACACTCACTGGTGTTGAGTTTTAGTTGAGGACAGGACGGACTTTGGGGACGCTGAGAACTAGGAAATCAATCATTCTTAGCTGGTGGTGCGCTCGCTTCATTTTCCAACTGAGGTTTGCATGTTTTTCTTTGCACCCATTAAGTTGAACAGGGGATTTTGAGAGAGAAAAGCTGGAAATTTCACCACAACGTGCAAGAGAAGGTCACTTAACACTTTGTACCTGGGTGCAAAGCCAGAGAGAATGGGTGGGGGGAATTTTACTGAACTCATTCTGTAAATAGGTTCAGCTGGAGAGGGAGAGAATAAGAAGTATAACCTCCTCCTGATGTCATGAAATGATTTTCTCATGGCTGCGCTCATTTTCCTTTCCACTCCCCATTTCCTTCCTTGCCTTTGCCAAAGTACCTTGGAGAGTTTATGAAATATGAATTGTCTTTGGGCCTTTTTAAAGCTAATCGTGCACATATTGCAGTGAGCTATGATGACAGAGAGCACACAGAGGACAGGGGCCTGGATTGCAAATGGAAAGACGGGGTGGGGGGAAAGGGTGCGGAATAATCTGCGTATCCAGAGAACGAACGACAGAAAGCGATGTAAAGTGATATGTGGACGGACGACAGGGGAATAGGAGGTGCAGGGAGGAGGCAGCATAAAGAACGAATGTTTGAAAAGAAGTCGTCAAAACAAGTTAATTCATATAAAACAGTTTAATAACAACTTGAAAATGGATTCAGACACAGTAATGCTGTTTTTAAAAAAGGAATATGTGGCATTTATGTAAGAGCTTTGGTGTTAAAAGGCAATCACACCTACATACATTCAATAAAACTGAAGCCTTTTCTACACAGTGGACTGATCCAACATCTGACTGGCTGTGAGGACGACAAGAGCAAATCTAGGCAAGGAAAGGCAAGTGATGGTTGAGACACAAAACAGTATTGTATGAAGATATTGAAAAATGTCCTCATTCTCTCTCATAAACTCTGGTGCAGACAACATCCCCGGCGGTCATTGTCTGAAAGAAGAAAAGCAACAAAAGGACAGTTGAACCTATTGTAATATTATGCTTCATTAAATATCAGGAGAAACATGACTGGGAGTATTGTTTGGATTGTGGATATTCCTCCTTCAAAATTCTAATAAGCGAATGAGAATTAGCTGGTTGTGGTTTTTACTAAAAACTTCTCTGATTCATTTCTTTGGAATATACACATCATTAGTTTTTTAATCTGAAGTCATATTTATACATTTACTGTAAAGCTCTCAGACTAGACTGTGATTCTAGTTTAAACTGCTTGGTGGCTGCACACAAATTATTACCAGTATCAGTTCTCCGTCATTGGTCAGCTCTCGGGTCCACGCCGTCTTGGGCCCGTCGCCTTTCTGTAAAGTCTGTTCGCAGCTGATCTTGCTCTCTGTTTCCCACTTTGGAAAACTCTGCAGGGAGAATATTAACACCTGACATCATTTATATGCTTTGGACACGGATTTGATGGCAAAACTTTTTTTTGGTTAACATCGTAACTGCACCTCAACGCATGTCAGAACATTTCTACGGCCTTTCAGGAAACAGTGCACTTCACCACTCACTCAGAATGAAGAGATGCTAGCCATGCTGTCCTTGGCCAAATGCTGGTAGGCATGTTTTGATATTTTACAGAAACTTTAATAGGGGAAGTAAAAGGGTGGCGTACCGTGCAGGGACGTCCATCCACTGTGGCCTCATTGAAGGACTGACCCACGGTGAAGGAGACATTAGTGGTGCGGACGCTGGTGGATGTCTTGATGGACAGGCTCTCGCCCTGCTGGGTGATCTCCACCGCTGGGCTGGAGGCGGCCTTCACTGCGATCTTCCTCAGGAACACATTCACACCTGAACACATGCAGAGGAACCGTGGTGAAAACATTGCGGGGGTTGGTTTGTGATGAGAGGAAAGAATATACAGCTGTGAATATTGTTAGAGCTCAAAACGACTGCATATGACGAGCAGTGTAAATGTGCAGACATCTGCTTTAGGAAGCGAATCCATCACTATGAAACTCTCAACACTTTCAGATAAAGACTTACGAGTGTTACAAGAGAACTATGCGGTAAAGCAGCAAGAGCTGGAATTTCTAACTTTGCTTGTTATTCAATAAAACAAAGAAACAACCTCATTCAATCTTTTTCACAATGCACATCTTTCTCCTCAGTTTGGTTTTATGAAAACAAAAGTTGTGAATGCTTTTTTTTTTAGCAGCCTATAAAAGCAGTCTGTGCTGCTGCATTGCCACACAACAATAACATATTTTCTTTTTGCCTGAAACCATGAGGCAATAAAATGCTCATTGTGATTAATTCTTTGGTTACGAGTTAGAATGTATGGTATGCTCCGGCAAACCGTTGCCAGTAATGTAAAACATATGTGATTTAACTTGATCAATTGTAACGTCAGCTTGGATAGACTCCAGCCCCCCCCCCAGCGACTCTCACAGGATAAACTGTATAGCTAATGGATGGATGGATGAGTTACAACGTGCAAATCCACAGGTATATTCCTTCAAACCACTAATTACTGTTATAAGTGATACAAGGCACAGTTTGCAAAAACACAGAAGAAGTGCATTCTTGACAATCTGACGAGCAGGAACAAGAACCCCCAAAGCTACAAAACTTTCAAGTTTACCCAAGAACAAAAATCTGTTATTATCCAGTCAAATCTGCCAAATCTCAACTGACGCTGCTTCAACAATTAGGTTCAGGAGGTTCATCTTTTCACAGCTTGATGTGTTTGATGTCGCAAAGAGATGGAGATTGAACATGGCAGCTCTGGAAAAAGCTAAAAATGGAACAATGGAAACTTTGAATTCACTGGTCCGATAAACTTCAGCGCAGTTTCTGTCTGACATCGAGGTGGAAAGATATCGAATCCAGTTCCTTGAGTTGGGAATGAAACTTTTGAAGCTGGCCATAGACTTGAGTGGCAGTGAGTAGAGCACGTACCTCCAGCAACGCCCAATAGAACTCTTAAATTCAATCAGGCTGCACACTTATAAAATATGTTTTTTATCATCAGGATCCATTAAATTATTATCTGGGAAATTAGGGACGTCCCTTTCTCGCAAATTCAACGAGTTCTTCCCTGACTCATAAAACATTCTACCACAGTTTTGTGGAAATCTATGCAGTACTTTTTGAGTAATCATGCTTACAAACACACTAATGGACAGGGGAGACAGCACATCCTCTTTGGCGGGGCTAATTAACACGCACAGACCTTTACCCTTGGTTAAAGAGATGCAAATTTATGGTAATTTTGCACCTCTTTGTGGTTGTTGTTTTCCAGTTTCTTTGTGTTCATTTTGTCCTTCTGCATGTCTTTATACTTGTTTTGCATCTCTTTATTGTCCTTTTGTGTCTCTTTGCGGCTGTTTTGAATCTCGTTATGGTCTTTGTGAATCATTTTTGTCTTGGTGTAATCATTTGATTAATATAACAAGATATGTTCAGTCAGTGGGCTTGTGATTGGCCAATTCACCCACGGATTTGTTCAGCAAGAGGAAAAATTTAACAGGATTTCATACAGGGAGCTATAACCTGTCGGAAAAATTAACCAACTCACTGATGCGCAAAGTACAAGCAGGATGAAACTCACTGCCTGTATTTTCATCTGTGGTCCAGGTCAACAGAGATGTGATGTGAGGTTTAATAGAAGTACAACAAATGTAAATTGCCTGTTGACCCTTAAGTTATTGCCAGGTTTTTGTGTGTGTGCGTGTGAGCTGGACTAGCTTCAGAGGGATCAGGGCTACCCAAGAAATCTGATTCAAGTCAAACCTTATTTGATCATGGAGTGGTACTAAAAGAGGCAGCACACACACACACACACACACACACACACAGTTCCAGACCGGGTCAGAGAGGCCCAGGGTACAGAAGGAAAGTCATTCTCAGAGCCGGCTGGCTGCTGGGGCCCATGTCGAGGCTTAGTTCCGTTTACACTGGCTCTAATTACAACCGCATGAGGAGGACCCTGCTTCAGATGAGTCTAATCTAAAATTCCTCCACAGGCTATTTGTCTTCAGATTTTTAATGGATGCCACTGGCTGGCCCTCATCTGACCTTCCTCTCCTGTTCTCCCCACAGAGGACTTCTTCTACTCGGCCTCATGTACCTGAACAAGTCATATCGCGCAGCTGGATCATGGGTTAGCACGGCAGGAGCGAATCAATTTCACCACAGACTTCACTTCAGACCACTTTGGTTTTACCAGTTGACCTGGAAGCCAAAGTGGATTTCCCGCTGACGATGCCACAAAATGATTGACAGGTCTTTGTAAAAGAAGATGCATCTCTTTCCTTTCTGTATTTCTATTTGCATTTTAACAATGGACCTCGGTGGTTGATGATAAACTACATAACAATGTGCAGCTTGGCTCCAAAGTGGAGTCAAACTCTGAAAAAACTTTAGGCAACACAAGGGAAGAAAAACGTTTCGAGAAAAAGATCATTTAAAAAACAGGATGCAATTTAGTGGAAACATTTTTAGAGCAGAAAAAAGCTTGACTGGAGATGTTCCTCGCACTCACCCAGAGTTCTCAAAAGATCCTCAAAATTTTGTGAAGACTTCATTTTCCATTTTCCAGAGAAATCGGTGACTTTATTCTCCATTTTGATGCAGCAGTGATTTTATTTGTTTAAATTTGTGGCAGATCAAGAAGCTGACTGTGGCTACACACTCTCCAGCAGATGTCTGTCCCTACACTCTGTCTCCCGGTCTGCAAACTCTCCCCTCTCCTCTGGCTGCATCTCCTGCCTCTCCTGCGTTCATTGGCTAACAGCTCGCCTGCATCTGATGCTGATCCAGCCAATGCAGAGGACGGTGGCAGGGAGGGACTTTCCCCCCTCATTCTCAGAGGGTGTGTGTGTACCTACCCTCCACCTCTGTCAGCATGGTGAAAGATTTGGATACGAGCTGGAAAATGCACTTCCAGTAAGTTCTTTTGATGTGGAATAATTAGGAAAGGTGTGACCTGCTTTATAGGCTGGTGCCATGCCATTCTCAGGTATCTGACAAGAAGAGCCGAACAGAACTAAAGTGAGTAAATAACTTAGCAATTCAAGTGGGATTTTTTTTTTTTTGCAATTAAAAATGCAACTTAAAACCTTGTGATTTCTACGATGCTGGAATGTGAAATCAGATATCAGGGTTAACGTGTTAGGCTCCAGAGAGGGGGGGTGGGAGAACTGGTAATGAAAGAGCAGAAGATAAGACATCCAGCTGGAGGCATCCATCCAGGAAAGTGCCATCAGCATTTTCACTTTACGTTTCAAAATTTAAAATAACATTGTCTCATTCAAGCATTCCAGTTAGGTAGAACCACCGGCTTTAGATTTCGTTTACCTGACGCCGTCTCATGTTGCCATTTCATCCGGTCTTTATCTGGACGGGACAGTGGTGGGTTACATTAGTTAGGTTCGGGTGATGTTTGAAAACAAACAAGACACATGACACTGTTAGCCTCTTTAGTCAGGAACTCAGAATCACTGTTCACTCTACGTGCATTTTGCTCTGTGCATGCACTTAATGCAATATTTGATTCTAATGTTAATTTTAAGGCCCAACAGTCTCCTTATGAAACCACGTTTAAATTCACTAGTATTTGGATCTGCACCAAACTGCACAAACAATCTTATTCTCTGAGAAATCAAAACCTCAGGGGAAGGGGCCATTAATTTCCTTCAATTCAGTTTCATATCTTTCATTTCATATCTCAAGGCACTGCACATAAACATCTTACTAAATTTGGGAGGAACCCGACATTGTGACTGCATCAAATCACTAACAAAAGAGTATAGCTATGGTAATCATTAAAAAGTGGATAAAAGATTCTAAGCAGCAATAAAAGTGAATTCAAAAATTTAAATTATTCTTTATTTGTTGTGCATTTTTATTAAAAAACAACCTCTAATTTGTGCCTAAATACAAAGATATTACTTTAGTAGAAGACTAAAGAAAAAAATCTAAAAATAAAAACCAAAGTAAGCCAATTTAGACTAAATAAATACTGCTGGAATAAAACATATTGATGGAACTTTTTTCTGTTACACTCTTTCTCTTCCATCTAACCCCCCCCTTTCTCACACACGTTCACTCACTGCCAAGAACTTTTCATCAGGTCTGGATCAGAGAGGATGCCTCCGGAAACATGATGCATTGCATTCATGCATCATGATGTTATCTGTGCAGGTTGTCTCAGCATTCCTCGCTGTGGCACCACACAGATACAGCGCCCCATGCTGAGCTACAGCAACACAGAAATACACCTTGTGGATTAATTAATAAAGAGGAAGGACACATAGAAGCACCTTTGAATGCTGAGTATTGACAAACCATCCAGCGTTCACCGCTGACTGACCTCAGAACAACAGAGGACAACAGAAGCTCTGGGATGAGGAGAAGAAGTAGAGAATGGCTGCGATGAAAGGTTAACACTGGACACTGCTAGGCCCGTATCTATGACAACGGATGTAGTTTAATAAATCTGTGATTCTCTTTATGTCGCAATCCAAGGATTGTTTAGCTGAATGGCCCTTAACAATTTCCCATTCATTTTCTATGGTAGTGGTTAACCATTACGGATGTACTGCCCCTCCTGGCCACTGAGCATTTTGGCGCTGTAACATCTTCATCTCTGTCTCTCTTCCTCGACTTTTCTTTCAATTTCAGTGACAGAAGAAGAACAAACTACAGCAGATATTGATCTCATACTATTTTACACATGTGAGTTGTGTTATTTAACAAAGGTAAGAGGCTGTTTTTCCAGAAAATGATGGGCAGATGTGTGTCACAGTGTCTATCCTATATTCTACCACAGAGCATGAATGGGAAATGGTATAGCTAAATTACACGAAGCATAATTCATCTGTGGTTGTTCCCGTTTAAATTTCATTTAATTTCAATGCAGATCAAACAAGAAAATCAAGAGACAGAAACAGACCAGTTGTCTTTAAAGTAACAAAGTCAGGCTGTGTTTGAGAAATGCTTGCTGCAACTGACAGTTAAAAAAGTATGATGTAACAAAAAAGGTGATATTTAATAATGCACATTATTCCATTATTGTTAATCTGTCACATAAACCTCTTCTTCTACTTCTTAGGTCCGTTTATCGGCCGGTGGCAACCAACGTCAAGGTGAATTACCGCCATCTACTGTATCTCTTATTACCCTGCGAGACTTGACAGAACCAGCTGAGCACCTCCATAATAAAAAGAATTGTATTTGTTGTTACCATGGTAACTGGGCCTTTGATCCAATCTTGATCCTATCTCTATGATTATGCTCAGTTGTGACCATCAAAGAACCCCATAGCCAACTTCATAGCACCTGCCTATTGACCAAAAGTGAATCCAGTCAGTTTTCACCCACTGCATTCTCGGCCACAAGCAGCTAGAAACAGTTACTACGGTCTACAATCACCACAGCAACAACACTTTCCTGAAGAGTCTTAATTTCTCATTGCCATGGCTGGACGAGACAACACAAAAAACTGGGTATCATTTAAAGCCAATGCCCATGAGCGTTATGTACATTTCAATGAACAACAAGCTACACTCAACAGTGTACACTCCTGTGTGCAGATTGACTTTGAGAATACAAACCAGGACAAGCGCAAGCGCATCAAAAAGGGGAATACTGAAAGGTCGTTTAACTACGAGATAAGTAAAGATAGAATGAGGGTCAAAAGACTTGAGCACCTTCTACAGCTGAGGGAGAAGATGTTCAAGGAAGAATATGCAAAGTGCTACCAGACAATGTCAAAACGCGGAAATGAAGTCTCAAACCTCAAGCCCACTCTTGAGTTCAGTGACGAAGAGAGTGATGTCACAGAGCTCAATAACCAGCAGAGCAGTGATCAGTTGACAGAGCCGCTCCATCCGAATGGAATTCTGATGCTCAAGAAGCAGCTCACAGAGGCCAAAAGCAAGCTGAGGGAAAAAGACGCAGAAAAACTCTCACAACTGAAAGCTCTGGAGACCAAATACACCTCCCTGGCGGAGGACACCAAAGCTGACATCAGCAGGCTAGAACAGCGCTGGGTAACGGAATTGAAAAAGTTGAAGGAGGAGAAGAAAGACCTTGAAGACAACAAGGAACAGCTGGTCAAGGAGAGGACACAGCTGGACCAGGAGAAGAGACAGCTGGACAAGGAGAGGAAACAGCTGAATGAGGAGAGGAAACAGCTGAACAGTCAGAGAACAAAGGAGAAAGAATTCATGGAATATCAACTGACACAACTGGAGGTCCTGTTGAATTTGGACAAGAAGGACAAGAAGAACAGTATGTTGAGTTCCTTCAAAAAGTTATTTAATTGTTCGACTCACACTGAAGAACAGTAGCAGGCTCCCCCTCTCTCTATGACATTGCTCTTCCAGCAATGACGTCACACCTGAATAGTTGATAGCGTTCCAGTTGCACAGGAACAATGTTTACATTAGACAAAGGATGGGGTCTAGAACTGATCCTTGAGGGACACCACATGTAAGTGTATGGTGTTACAATGTGTGAAATAGATTATTATGAACATGTTGCCACCTTCTTTGGATTAGTTTGCTGGGGCAGGAGCATTTTTACTGCCGACAGGAAGAGACTGGATAGACTGATGAGGAGGGCCACCTCAGTCCTGGGATACCTGCTTGACTCAGTGGAGGTGGTGGGACAGAGGAGGATGATGGTGAAACTGTCTTCTCTGATGGACAACCAGTCCCACCCCCTGCAGGACACCATCACAGCACTGGGCAGCTCCTTCAGCGACAGACTGATACACCCTAAGTCGGTAGTGTCAAACCCAATCACAGAGAGGGACTGGGACGTCGAGGGCCAAACAGGGTCAACATTTATTAAACAGGATAGACAGGATATTGGATAAAGCGCAAAAATAAAACATATTTAGGTCCGCTACATTCTTCTTCTATTTACATGTCGCAGAGCCAGATGTTTGGCATCTTTTCTTGGCTGCCAGTTCATTAAAGTTTGGGGTAAAGTTCTTTGCTGAGGAAACTCTCAAGATGGAGTGAAGGTGTGCATCAGTGAGACGACTCCTGTGTTGGTTTTTGTTCATCTTCATCACAGAGAAAAGCTTATGAGTGAACTTGACGGGGCACAGACAGCAGCACTCAGGCACTGGGATCTCTGGAACACTGGAAATATAACCTAAGAACACCAAATACTCGGCAGATGAGGAGGGGCGCTCGTTCTGTGTGTGTCTAGCCGGGCATTGCGCACCGTAGCTTGGCCAGTGGAGCCTGTGCACTCCGCCTGGCTCTCTGGCCAGAGCGAGATGGAGAGAGAAAGAAGGAAAAAGAGAAAGAGATAAGCGTAAGAGACTAGGTGAACTTGAAGATCTCTGGAACGCTGGCAAAATATCATCATCAAAATCTGCGGAGAGGAGTAAGACTATACACCGAGCACTGCTGCCAGTAAAAAACACCTTTGGACTGCGCTCTAACGGTTTCAAGTCTCAACTGTGCAATATTCATCACACTGCATAGATACTCTTCTTTTCTTCACACTGTATTAGTTTATAGTGTTTCTGTATTTCTAGTTATTTTTTATTTTTTTATCACTTACTGATCTAATTGCTGCTGTAACACTACAAATGTCCCCGATTGCTGGACTAATAAAGTAGTTCTTCCCTTGACTTATCGTTCTGAAGCTCAGAGGTAGAAAACTATAAAAACCTTGGGACTGACTGTGACTGAGTTTTTACTACTGT